TTGATCGTGCAGTCGATGACCAACACCACCGCCTCCAACAACATCATTGTCAATTCGGTGGCCAGCAGCAATGCACATAGCTACACGAGCTCATCGCAGCCGCCGCACCTGACGCAGCTGAACTCGCAGGCGCCCCACCTGCCACAGATCACGCAAATCCAAACAATACCAGCACAGCACCAGCAACAGCAGCAACATCATCAGCAGCAGCAGCAGCAACAGCAGGTGAACAATGTGAGCTCCTCGGGGGGAGCGCCAGCGACGACAAGCACAACGACAACGACGACGGCTCAGCAGGGAAATACCAAAGAAAAGTGTCGCAAGTTTCTAGCCAATTTAATTGAATTATCGACACGGGAACCGAAGCCGGTGGAGAAGAATGTGCGCACCCTCATCCAGGAGCTGGTCAATGCGAATGTGGAGCCCGAGGACTTTTGTGATCGCCTGGAGCGTTTGCTGAACGCCAGCCCACAGCCATGTCTCATTGGGTTTCTCAAGAAGAGCCTGCCACTGCTGCGTCAGGCCCTCTACACCAAGGAGCTGGTCATCGAGGGAATCAAACCGCCGCCCCAACATGTCATCGGTCTAGCCGGACTTTCGCAACAGCTGACGGTAAAGCTCAATCCACTGATCCACCAATGATCCGTCTCTATATTCAATAATTTGTTGTTGTAGAAAATTCAAGCGCAAATCCGTCCGATTGGGCCCAGCCAGACAACAACCATAGGACAGACGCAGGTGCGCATGATAACACCAAATGCTATGGGCACGCCACGGCCCACCATCGGCCACACGACGATATCGAAGCAGCCTCCCAATGTACGACTGCCAACGACGCCGCGACTCGTCAGCACGGGTGGCATTCGCACCCAGATACCCTCGCTCCAAATGCCTGGACAGGCGGTAAGCTGAATCTGAATCAACTCATCTCTCTTTCGATAGGTCGCTTTATACTGTCATGAATTCTTACAGAACATTGTGCAAATCCGTGGACCGCAGCATGCTCATTTGCAGCGAGCTGGGACTGTGCAGATTCGGGCCACAGGTCGGACGCAGAACACCACACCCACGAACAAACTCACTGCCGTCAAGGTGGGCCAGACGCAGATCAAGGCGATAACGCCCAGCCTGCACCCGCCGATGCTGGCAGCCATATCGAACAGTGGGCCGCCGCCCACACCCACGCTGTCGGTGCTGTCGACGCTGAATTCGGCATCGGTCACGTCGCTGCCGGTGCCGTCGCTGCCCACGGTCCATCTGCCGCCGGAGGCGCTAAGAGCCCGTGAACAAATGCAGAATTCGCTGCACCACAACAACAACAACCACTTTGAGCCGAAGCTGGTGGAGATTAAGGCAGGGTCGCACCTGGAGCGAATGAACGCCTCCCTGATGCCCATCTCGGGCAAGACGCTGGTGAAGGCATCGCCGGCGCTCAGCAAGGCGGCGGCGAGTAAAAAGAGGAGGGACGCATTCGATGGCAAGGATGATGCGAAGGCGAACAATGCGAGCGGAGCCGCAGCGGCGGCGGCCAATTCGTTTTTCCAACAGAGCTCGATGTCCTCGTCGATGTATGGTGACGATGATATCAACGATGTGGCCGCCATGGGCGGCGTCAACCTGGCTGAGGAGTCGCAGCGAATACTCGGCTGCACGGAGAACATCGGCACGCAGATACGCTCCTGCAAGGACGAGGTGTTCCTAAACCTGCCCGCTCTGCAGGCGAGGATACGGGCCATTACGACGGAGGCAGGGCTGGACGAACCATCGCAGGATGTGGCCGTCCTCATATCGCATGCCTGCCAGGAGCGACTGAAGAACATTGTGGAGAAGTTGGCTGTGATAGCGGAGCACCGCATTGATGTCATCAAGGTGGGTCGCACTCGTGCATCTGCTGGTCCCGTAGCTCTTCTAATGATGAATCTTGCAGTTGGACCCCCGCTACGAGCCCGCCAAGGATGTGCGTGGCCAGATCAAGTTTCTGGAGGAGTTGGACAAAGCCGAACAGAAGCGGCACGAGGAGCTCGAGCGCGAAATGCTGCTCCGTGCGGCCAAGTCCAGGTCCCGGGTGGAGGATCCCGAGCAGGCGAAGATGAAGGCTAGGGTAGGATCCGTCTGCCACCGTTTCTTTGTTACAGCTTCGCTATAGTACCATTTCATACCATTGCTTAGGCCAAGGAGATGCAACGTGCCGAGATGGAGGAGCTGCGGCAGCGGGACGCTAATCTGACGGCGCTTCAGGCCATTGGACCCCGCAAGAAACTCAAACTGGATAGCGATGCGGCCAGTGCAGGAGTGGTATAACTTCAAACGACTTAGACTTTTAATTGATGCAATGCCTAACTAAATGGAATGCTTTCCCCTTTAGGGTTCCAGCGGCGGCGGACTGTTGAGCAGCTCGGGCTCGGCTTCAACCACGTTAAGGCCGCGCATCAAGCGAGTCAATCTGCGCGACATGCTCTTCTACATGGAGAAGGAGCGCGAGTTTTGTCGCAGCTCCACGCTCTTCAAAACATACCTCAAGTGATCGCTGCTGTTCGTCATTCACATTGTCTTCTACTCCTGTTCCAGTTTGAGTTCCATTGCATCGTCACCACACAACACAGCGCCTGCCCTGCCCTACCCGCTTGGACTCTGGTAATGTTTCCTGCTTTAGATTTCCTCCCATCCTTCAATTGCAATATAGTGTTGCTTCAGATTTAACCGATTTGATTCGTCGTCTTCGTTTATTGTTTTTAGTTAGGAGTCTTTTTAACATTTACTTTAAAGTTTTAAGCCCTATATCTACTTTCTATTCGCGCTTGATTTTAAGTCTAGTTTAAATCCCGTTTATTCCCCCCAATAAATTGTCTGTAAAACTGAAACCAAACCAATCCAAAAACGCAGAAACAAAAGCTAAACATAAACATTAACGAAGGAAGAGAGCAAGAGTAGGGAAGAAAGAGAAAAGAGTGGAGTAGAGTAGAGAACGCGCAGTCAGCGGGGCGTTTGAATTGCCTTATCTAAACGATATAAACCTAATTATAAATATTTAATTACTAGCTTAGTTTGTTAAACGAAAAGAAAGCATAATTCCTAGGCCTTAAGTGAAATGATGTGCAGCAGACAGAAAGGACGGAAGCGGTGGAAGGAATGCGAATCCGATAAGAGAATTGCAGATTGCAGATGGTTTCTAAAACCATCAGGAAAGCAGACAGATCAGATTCAGCAAGGAACACTCACATCAGAGGAAACCATTCAAAGCATATATTGAATTAGTTCTAGTTGTTTAAACCACATGCTGTAATTTTAAATAACATATTATGTATAAAACCAATCCCAATTGTACATAAAGCTTAGGCTAAGGATCTTCTAATAGTTAACTAGGTAAACTCGAGCGTAATTAACAAATTCAAGCAGATGAAGGAGCGCGAAGGCGCATGTCTAGGCATTATGAGAATCAAACATGTTTTTAGAATTAGAAGCGCTCGTTCATCCATTTAGAGAATGGTGTGCGTGCATGATGTGGGGCCAATGTGTCGCCGCCACTGCCATCTGCTATCGGACCAAACGGCAGGCGGATCAATCGTCCTTTGGCCCTAATTCCTCTAACCCCTCCCTCACGTAACACAAACCACACCACAAACACAGACACACACACACACACACAAAATAGACAAATTTATATACAGTTAGCCAGCAAATCTTGTAAAATAAAACCCCCAAGCAAATGCGGAAAATAAGCGGAAGCGAGTTAAGAAAATCAAAAGTAAATTTACATTACATTTCATGCAATTCAGATAAAAATTAAACCAAAAGCAATTCTCAAATTCAAAGATCTTTGTGTGTAAATTAAAACAAAATTAAATCCATAATGAGAATGCAGAAAGATGGCAGGCAAGAACAGGATCAGAATCAACCGAAAAAACAGAGCGCATAGTGTTGGTAGGCTTATATCTGAATATATTATAATAATAGTATGTATACTTATGATGTTTTACAATTACATACACATACGCATGAAACAAAACAAAACAAACGAAAGGCAAATCCGAACTATTGTATGTAAAATTAAGTAACAACAGAAAAGGACAAAAACAAACTAAATCCAACAAAAACAAACAAAAAATAAAAGGACAAAAATTCAGAAAACTTGTGTGCACGGAAATACATAGACAGGTATATATAAATACATACATATATACGTATATACTCGAGTATATATGCGGGGGAACAGAACTCCAGCAGTTTAAGGTTTAAGCTTAAGTGCAGTACGCAACGTTTTCAACAATAAACATACAATTTAATTTTTTCAATGATGGTATCTCAGTTAATTAGCTAGTTAATTGATTAAAACTTATGTAGTTAAATTTTATTGCTGTTTTTACAATAATTTTTATTATGTTAAATATTCTTAATGCATTTTTGTGTCGTCCCCAAAATAGAGATTGAAAGGTAACCAAAATTAAAGAATATACCCCCAAATTTAAATTGGGATAAAACAAAAAACCACAAACAAACAATTGGCACATATTTTCCATTTTGTATTATTTTGTCTTTACCTTTTTATATTTTATTTATGCTTGACATTTTGTAGCATGTTAGCTTGCTGTTTTTCCGAGCATTCCCAATAACTATACTGTACTAGTATTAGTTCCGCCTTTTCCCACCTTGTGGAGGGGGGGGGGGGGGGGGGGGGGGGGGGGGTGGAGATGCCGTTCTGGTAGATACAGGCATACCAAGGGGTCACTCAGTTCTCGCTCCCTTCTAATATACGCACATTTTAAATTCAAGCAGTTCGATCTCCGGAGCACTTAAAGATTGAGCCGAAGACACTCGGTGTCTGTTGGTGTCTGGGTCAAAATTAAAATAAGACTTGGCGCCAAACCAAAGTTTCATGCCAAGGTGAATTTACTTACTAAACACATTCAACTTGGTTCATGAAGCGGCTAGCTGTGCGTGTGTGTGTTATGTGTGATTGCTCACGTAAAGCGGTGACAGTGTTGGAAAGCACTGTTTGTTGTGATTGTTTATCAAATGGAGGTTTTTTCCGCAAAATGACTGAATTTTTGGCTGAAAACAATGCCTGTGGCCAAAATCTGCTGAATATTGTATCAGTAGGCAATTCCATCATAGCGGAGATCCTTCGGCTCAAGGACTACGTGCCGCCAATTTATAGGCAAGTACAAAAATGAGTAGAAATCACTAATAAACTCGATGTTGCCGCCCTGCAGGCTGGAGACAAAGGCCGATCGGGAGAAATATGGTGAGATTATACTCGACTTTAGCTACTTCAAGATAGCAGAAGAGCACGAGAAGATAATCGAACGGAGCCCGGTAAGCAACAGAATTAAGATGCAAGCAGAACATTGTAATTGGTTGACATTTCATGGCGCAGGAGCTGAGCGAACTGGACGATGAAATTCGGAGCCATTTACCGCTGATTACTCGCTTTTATCTGGCCTTCCAGAGCCTCCACAACTATGCGGTGTCACTGCAGCAGTACATCGAGGAGCTGAACAGTGGCTACTACATCCAGCAAACGCTGGAGACAGTGCTGCAGGATGAGGAGGGCAAGCAACTCTTGTGCGAGACCCTCTACTTGTACGGAGTAATTTTGCTGCTTCTGGACTACCACATTTGCGGCGATGTGAGGGAGCGCCTGCTAATCTCCTACTACCGCTACAGCGGCGGCGACGCCACTCCAAGTGGCGACGAGAGCAACATCCACGACGTCTGTCTACTCCTGCGCTCCACGGGCTACGTGCACCCCTCGGAGGCCGCCAAAGTGTTGAGTTTGGGCGGGAAACAGGCATCGTCGGGAGCGGCCAATCTGTCGGTACCCAAATACCCGGAGGCGTACTTCTCCCGCTTTCGCTTCGATGCGAACTTCATAGATCTGGTCATTGCCCGCCTTCGCTGCGACGACATATACAACCAGTTGGCCATCTACCCGCATCCCACGCATCGCTCGACGGCGCTCTCGTCCCAGGCGGCGATGCTCTACGTGTGCCTCTACTTCTGCCCCCAGGTGCTGCACGGCCAGGGCTCGCAAATGCGCGAGATTGTGGACAAGTTCTACTGCGACAATTGGATTGTGTCCGTGTACATGGGCATCACGGTGAACCTGATCGACGCCTGGCAGGAATTCCAGGCGGCCAGAGCGGCCATAGCCAATACCGTGAATGCCGCAACCGTGCAGACGCTGTGCCAGCAACAAAGAGAGCAGCTGGCGAAGACGCTCCAAAAGACCAAAGAAATTGTGCGAGAGGGAGTCCTCGACAGCAGCTTCGTGCTGCAGAACGCCAACAAGCTGATTGTCCTGATGCGACAGTGCAATGTCCTGCTGCGCTGGTACTGCCTGCACACCTCCCGCGAGGTGTTCATCATGTCGTGCTCTGCCGTCCAGCCCAGCCAAGTCCACCAGTTGGTGCTCAGGGAGCTGCAGTTCGACCGGAACGCTCTGTACCATCTCCTGCTCAACTGCAGCCAAATGGAGTTGACTGTGCGAGAGCTGCTGGGCGAGGTTCAGCAGAGCAGGGACGAGCGCTGGAGCACCAGCCGCGAAGGGGCGATGCAGCGTCTGCAGGAACTCAGCGAGGCCTTTGCAGGCAGCCGGCCGCTGGCCAAGATCGAGTCGAATCCACAGCTGCAGCAGTGGTTCAGTGACGTGGCCAAGCGACTGCAGAAACTGGAACTGGGCAGGCCGCAAAAGTCTGGCCGCCTCATCATTCAGGTCATGGAGGCCCTGGACGAGGTACAGGAATACCACAATCTGCACGCCAACATGCTGGTGAAACAGCAGCTGCAAGAGACGCGGGATCTGCTCAATCGGATGGCACAGGTACTCCACAGCCTACCCAACATACGCATGTAATTCCCGCGAATGATACTCTCTCTCTCTCGTTTAGTTAATCAACCTCAAAGAGGACATTCAGATACAGATTCAGATGATTACCGACTTTAGCTATGCGTGGCATCTGCTGCAGCGGGACTTCAGGCCCCTGATGCAGGAGCACATCAAGCGGCAGCCGCACGCAGTCCGCGGCATTCGTGCAGTGTTCCTCAAGCTGGCCAGCACGCTGGAGGTGCCCCTGATGAGGATTAATCAGGCCAAGAGCGAGGATCTCGTGTCCGTGTCCAACTATTACAGCACAGAGCTGGCCAACTTCCTGCGACGAGTGCTCCAGATTGTGCCGGAGACCATGTTCAGCATTCTGGCAAGGATTATCCACCTGCTGACCAACGTGATCATGGAGTTCCCCACGCGCCTCGACAAGGACAAGCTAAGGGAGTACGCCCAGTTCGAGGAGCGGGCCAAAGTGGCTCAGCTGACCAACTCCATAGCCGTTTTCACCAAGGGCATCCTCATGATGAAGACCACCCTGGTGGGCGTGATCGAGTTGGATCCCAAGCAGCTGCTCGAGGATGGCATTCGCAAGGAGCTGGTCAATCACTTGGCCAATGCCTACAATCTGGGGCTGATCTTCACGCCGGAGAAGGGCCGGTCGCAGGTGCAGCTCATGCAGCAGAAGCTGCAGACTCTGGCCAAAACCATCGAGGGATACCGGAGGTCCTTTGAGTACATTGAGGACTATCTGAGGGTGCAGGGTCTGGGCATCCTGCTGGAGGAATCCCAGCGCATCATCAGCTACAATGTGGAGAAGGAGTGCAATGCCTTTCTGCGGAACAAGGTGCAGGAGTGGCAGTCGATCCATCAGAGCCAGATCATACCCATTCCCAACTTCCCGCCACTGCAGGGGGATCCCTCGAACTCCAACAACTTCATTGGACGGCTCGCACACGAGGTGCTGCGCTGCACAGACCCAAGGCAGACCATTTTCCTGGACCTCAAGCGCACCTGGTACGAGAAGCGAGCTCCGCACTCGGAGGTGCTGTCCGCCTCTGGGTTCTTTGGCATTCTGCGCGAAGCTCTCGACCCCGCTGGCATGGTCGGACTGGAGCGGCTCTATGCCCACATGCTGGCGGACGAGCTGAAGCGCAACCTGGAGCGGCTCCAGAAGAACCTCACCTCTGATCGCATGTGGCGCAACGCCCTGGAAAGCCTCACGAAAGAGCTGGAGTCTCGAGACTTTCCCGGCCCTGAGGTGGCCAAGCAGCCGCTCAAGTATTACCAGGACTACACGCAGCGCTGGATGAAGGTGTGGCCCAGGCTCCTGGACTGGGTGCTCTCGGTGGGCCAGAAGCAGGTGCTGCGCCAGCAAATCGCCAGCGAGCTGAGCTTCAGCAGCAAGTGCGAGGCCAAGCTGTTGCAGAACTCGGCGGACACGTTGAATCGGTGAGTGCAGCGGGGAACTCCACCACTGACAGGGTATTTGACAGTATTTAAATTCCATCTCTTTCGCAGCGCCTTTCTGTTGGAACTCTCACGCAACAAGGAGCTGTGCGATGAACAGGGCGTGGGTATGCTGACAGAGCTGGAGGACATCCTCCTCTACACGGGAAACTTTGAGCCATTGGAGCAGGTGTTCCTCCCCACCAAGAACACACACAATGTCTCGCTGTTCCTGTTCCTCTTCACCATTGCCCATGTGGATCGCCTGCAGTACTCCGCCAACACGGACTGCCTGCTGCCTAAGGCAGCCAAAGATGTGATTGATTGTGTGCCCCTTGTTGTGGGCCTGCTGACCATTCTGAATCAGTTCCACAGGAACATAAAGATGCTGTACATCTCCTACATGAGCCAGTACGTGGTGACGGTGGCAGAGGCGCAACTATCGTGAGTACTCCTGTCCCTTGTCCCTGCCGGCAATCGATTAGAAAACTTGTTGTTTCTGTTTCTAGGGACAAGGAAATCCTGGGTACCGAAGTGACCAATGTGCTCCACTTCCTGCTGCACTTTTTGCGGCTTTGTCGACTGCCTCTGCGAGTCCTCGAGCAGCGGATACCCAACATGATACTCTCCGAGTTCGAGTATCTGGCCACGGCCGTCAAGTGAGGCGGCTCTTAAGCTACACAAACTTTAATAAATTCAAAACATAACAAAGAAATGCCTCGCTGAGGAACACATTGAGATAGGATTGCGATGAGTGCGTGAGGTAATTTATGTGATCACGGTGGGAGCATTGCGGCCGGTGAACTTTGGCAGCTGCGAAATCTCCAGGGCTATGTCGATCAGGGGCTTCAGCATAACGCTGGCCTGCCCCAGGACGTTCTCCTTCTCATACGAATCAATGTACAAGCTAAAAGAAAGAAATCGAAGCCACGTAAATATGGAAAGAGTCCAAGCCAAGGTGTTCTGCCAGTACTCACCGCACTGTGGCTCCGGAGCTGCCTGTGCCACTGAGACGCACCACGATGCGGCTGCCGTCCTCGAAGACAATGCGCAGACCCTGCTTGGTGGCCACCGACTTGTCCACGGGATCCGTGTAGCTGAAGTTGTCCGCCTCCTTCACCCTGTAGGTCTTGCCGCCGCTGGAGAAGCTCTTGCCCACAAAGCCTGCCGCCGTGATGGTCTTCTCCATGGTGTCCATCATCTCGTTGCAGGGATCGGAGGCGCACTCCTCGTAGTCGTAGCGGGTGAAGTAGTTGCGGCCGTAGATGGACCAGTGCTGCTTGAGGATGTCCTCGATGCCCTTGCCCGTGTGCTGCATCACCGAGATCCAGGCCAGGACCGCCCAGATGCCATCCTTTTCACGGATGTGATTGGAGCCGGTGCCGAAGCTCTCCTCGCCGCACAGACAGAGCCGTCCGGCATCCATGAGATTGCCAAAGTACTTCCAGCCAGTGGGCACCTCGAACACTTCCTTGCCAAGCTTCTTGCCCACGAGGTCCACAGCCGAAGCGGTGGGCATGCTGCGAGCGAATCCCTGAACGCCGTTCCTCTTGAAGTACGGAATGGCCTCCAGGTAATGGGCGATCACGGCCAGAGAGTCGCTGGGTGTCACGAAGAAGGCCTTCTGGCCGATGATCATGTTGCGATCGCCATCTCCGTCGAAGGCGGCTCCAATGTCGTAGTCCCCCTGGGCGACTGTGTCCACCAGATCCTTGGCGTAAGTCAGATTTGGATCGGGGTGCAGTCCACCAAAGTCTGGCAGTGGAGTGGTGTGCACCACGCAGGACTCGCTGGCACCCAGGCTCTTCAGGAAGATCTCATTCACATAGGGGCCGGTGACACCGTTCATCGCATCGATCCTCATCTTCAGAGGCTTGCCCGTGACCTTGCCACTGACAAACTCCTTGAGCTTGGCCATGTCAAAGATCTCCTCCATGAGTCGCAGATAGTCGGCCACCGAATCGATGACGTTCACGGTGAAAGGCTTCCCGGCAATGTCAAAGGTGCTCACGCCCACCTTGGAGATGTCGATCTGCAGGCCGCGCACCAGCTTGTACTCCTTGATCTCCGTTGTCAGCTTGTGGATGCTGTTGGTGAAGGCATCCGGGGCTGGTCCACCGTTCTCGCAGTTGAACTTAATGCCGAAATCGTTCTCAGGGCCGCCCGGATTGTGGGAAGCGGTCAACACAATGCCACCTGAAGGGTTGGGAGAAGCAAATTCATTTCATTATTTGACCCGGAAGACCTCTGGCAGATCCCACATCCCGCGACAAATAGATGCTTCGTTATCAGCAAAGCTCTTTCGCTTTTACAACCACAGTGAAGCCCACACCCGATGCACCCACTCACTCACCCAAGGCCTTGTTGTGACGGATCAGGCTGGACACCGCCGGAGTAGAGAGAATGCCGTTTTGGCCCACCAGCAACTTGGACACGCCGTTGGCAGCTGCTATGCGAACAATTAGCTCAGCAGCCTCCTTGCAGTAGTAGCGCCCATCGCCACCCACGACCAGGGTGGAGCCAGTGAGGGCAGCACCATTGGCGGATAAAGTGGCTTGCACAAAGTTTTCCGTGTAGTTGGGCTGAACGAAAACCTTCACCTGTGGAGGAGCAGAATGGGCAATTCAAAAGAGCCGAGATGATTGTTTTAATTGTGCTTTAAACCTTTTTGCGCAATCCACTGGTGCCTGGCTTTTGGCCCTCGTAGGGCGTCGTTTGGACTGTTTCCGCGCTGAGAGACATGCTGCTAACCACTGGAGTTTTCCGGCTGCTGGTTGATTTCCAACTGGACGACCGACGTTTGCGTTCGTTGAAAATTGAGTGTCGTGTTGGGCAGAGAGAGGCGAATTCTACTCCCACTGATAAGCGAGCGCGATGTACTAACGCTTCGGCTGCGACGACACTGATAAGCGCTATCATCGGTGCGTGCTGCCCCTCAGACATTAACAGTGCTTGAGGGGTGTGTATCAACAGATATGCTTGTTCATCCATACATTAGTCAGTGCATTCATTTCGTTAAATGGCGAGGATCATCGTTATTTATCATCATTCAATTTACATGACTGTTCAAACTTATATGTCGGCTGCGCTTGCTGTAGGGTGCAATGTCATTCAAGGGCATTCTTATTTAGATGCCAGCTAACGAAAGTCTTGGCTAAAAAATATGTTAGTGGCTCAAGCTCGGGCTACCGAACGCTATAATATATGTGAAACAAATATCTAATGTTATAGCCAAATAACCAAAAACAAGTTAATATTTGTTTAGGTTTTTGAAAAAAACATTCATGGCAGTGTGACCGCGGAATTATCGATAAAGTATACCGACATACCCTCGGAAATATACCAAAATACACCCGTTCTGAAATATCCTATAAATATACCGTAAATCTTAAATCCTCGACTTTGATCTTCTGTTTAATATTACCAGCTAGTTAGGACTCTCAGCAATAAAACTGTAATTTTACTCGAACCATCAATAAGTTTTCCATAATATCGGTTAGTTTTCATGACTTCGCTTTTTTGTAATGTTTTCAAATTTAGTTACAAACTAAAAAGGTTAAACAACAAAAATAGCATCAAACGTTAAGTGACTGAGTACGTATGCACATATATTGCACCCCTTGCATACTGAACTATGCATTTATGCATTGGCCCGGTTTGTGTAAACCTTATTTCCTACAAGATCCAATAAGAAGGAGTCCATCAAACTAGTAACCATTATAGAAAATTGATATTAATCAATACGATTAAAATATATGTTTAGTCCTAGGAGTCTAGGCTAGCTAGTAATACTAAACGGAAATCTCATTATCCAGGAATATGACTTCCGATCAACATTAAACTTGTTTCTTGAAACATTATTTTCTAAAAAGTCTAATAAACAAGAGACCTGCTCTGACTGATAACCAATTATATAGAAACTCATTCACCAGTTGGATATAATTTCCATATTTCAATATGGACATTTAATAATTCATATTCGAAATTTAGCCTATTATAATAATATTATACGGCACTGCTGTAATGCGTGGCCCGGTCATCGAGAATGTCGGCGAAACGTACTGCATAGATTGCTCCAGTTTTCGATAGCTCGTCTGGATTCCTAAAAGCCCAATGGAAGCTGCGTAGCAAAGAACGTTATTAATAGTTTCTTACACAAGTGATGTTGACTTTTCAGTGTAACTTACAGTTGGATGTGCGCGGCACGTTAATGGGTATTTTCATTGCATGTGCATTGTCCGCTGGCTCTCCCTTTTGTACTTCCGAATGTTTTGGACTTGATTGTGCAAATTCATAATCTGGACTTACCGTTCTCTGTAGACACTTTCCCATGTGTGAGCCTTGGCGAAAGCGACCACAGCGACATCTAGCTAATAAGCTCGAATGCATCTCCGGTGACACAAATTGCGATTCGCCCTTATTTTCGTGAACAAAAGGGCATAGTTCTGAAAAGTAAAACCTCTGTTACAAAAATATTAAATAATAAACCATATTTACCTTGCAATTTAAGTTTTCCTTTTAGCTGTGAGTCAATATCATTTTGATGGTACAATTTATTGGTATCATTGTCCGAAATTCCATTCCACACCTCTGGATAATTACGTCGCCACTTGTTTCCCATACGCACCTGCTCCTTGCTTAAAGATTTATTTAAATACAATTATGGGAAATGCAATGGGGATAAACTTACACTTTTCCAATTACTTTAACTGGATCCATTTGCATTTCTCTTAACTTCTCAGAAACACAAACTTGATAAATTGGCTTTGGTAAATTATTTGTTTACTATAGCAACTGGGGCCAAGGGCTCAGTTGCCCCGGGCGCTCGAATCTATCAAATTTTGAATATAAATGGTGCTTGAAATATTCTTTGGCACGGCCCTGAGAACAATTACAACCTATAAATACCCCTAACACATGTATGTACGTTGTTTATAATCAATAGTTTCATTTATTTAAATAGCATTACTTAATAAATTTGAGTATAAATATGCATTTACATGTTAAATACTTGTAGCTAATGTTTTCGTGCAATTCTATTTATGTATTGTATATCTTATGCCCACATGTAAGTAAAGGATCTTTAGTGTTTTCCTTCCTCCCCATTCCTTTTTACAAACTTGAAAATGTTCACTTTCAGTGCCTAGCTAATTGTTTTAGTACTGATTCGTATATTTGTATTTCTGTTTTCTTTACGGTAGTAGCTCCTATTTCCAACTATATTAGGTAAGAAAATGATTAAATTGTAGTTATTGTTGTATTGTAATTGTTATTATTGTAATGAGCTAAATAGCCTTATACAAATACAGATTTCACGGCAATTTGAACATTCCATATACTGGTATGTATGCATTTCTGAATGTAATTGGGGCATATTTGTTGTTAAAACTATGTAAATTTGATTGATATTTTGTCACCATCCTTAAGGAGTATATTGCTGCATTACCATTTTAAGCTAAAGCAAATAAGTGGTATTGGTGGTTAATATTCTATGTACTTATGGCTAGAGATTGGAATTGGATACTTCTATAAGTTACAATCGCGAAATACAAAAGCGCCAGAGTATAAAGTGTAAGGAGGATGAGTGGAGGTTGAGCGTAGCATGACTACGAGTAGATAAGCCATCTTAAGCTTAATATTTTATGCACATTTACCGGAAGGATTGCAAATTTCAAGAACAGACCGACACTAGCTTTCTCGCTCAGACAAAATAAAATTACACCGAATCTTAAAAGCTAGACAACACACACATTACGATAATTCAACAATGTAAACGCACACAAGGAACGTTTTAAGCTACGATAACAGATTTTGGTTTGGTACAATTTCATTCTTTTTGTTTTGTTTTGTTTATGTTTGTCGCTGATCTATTACATAATGTATTATTTAATATACAAAATTTCCTTTACAAAAAGTCAGTCCATAGTTTTGGGTATCAGCTCGGCATTTATAATCTATTGCTCATGAAATCTGTTTAGATCTTCATAAAAAACCGTTCTCACAATATGCCATTCGTGTAGTACTGGTAACCATCGTAGAGTTTGGTTGACAGACTTTTCAACGAATCCTGCACAAGCTGCTCAACCTTGCGTTCCATTTCTTGCTCGGTTAAATTCATATGAAAGCGTTTGCGGAGATTCTGTACGGTGCCGGAGCATCCATTTTTAAAGCACGGCAAATGCGCATCTGTACCAAAGACATGAATCCATTTATAATCATTTCTTGTGGACATTTTGCATAAAAACTTACTGCTGCGCATGATTTCCACAAAGTTGATGATGCGATCCATGTGCTTTCTAGCTGACATCATGCCCACGAGCAACAAGCGATTGAATTCACGCCAATGTTCCGAACTGGTACCTCCCATGACTTCAACGAATTCAGGCGTAAGCTTAAATGGTGATTGCTCGAAGCCTGCAAGACACATTTTATTGATAACTCTTATACAAGGGCCTGTTGTGCCAGCGCCGTGTACCTACCCAAGTTCTTTGGAGATATACTCAGAATAAATCCAAAGTCGATGTGTATTATGTGTCCATCCGAATGGAAGAGTATGTTGCCATTATGCCTATACGGAGGATGGACTATTAGTAAATACACAATTGAATGAGTGAGGGTGTCATTATTACCTGTCCTTGACTTGCAGCAAGTAGGAAATCAGACAGTAAGCTGCACAGCTCTGAACGAAATTCCTTTGCGCACGGCGAAAACTTTCATCCGTGGGAGGGCCATACTCATCGATAAAGTAATCTCTCAACGACTTGTTGGAGTTCTTTTTGATTTGGTGCAGAGAGACGGTGTTAAGGATGGGTTCAATGAGACCGCTGTCATTTGACAGACAGACTATCTTGTATGGACGCACCCACAGGTCCACTTTTTCCTCCTGCCAAATTATTTTGAACATCTGAAAGAAACAGGCAAGGGTTTGACATTGAGTGCAATCAAAAGCAATCCAAAATATACCTGCAACAGCTGTGTAGCCATGAGCTCCTGCCTTAAGTCGTCCCCACACTTAACAATGGCCGAAAGCAGTCGCCAGTTTGACAGGTGCCCATATGGCGAAGACTCTCGAATAAGCTTCTCCTTCTCATCCCAGGGTTCCTGCGTAAATTTAATGGAATTAATTTCAAAACTAATACATCGAGTATCCTGTTTGAGTGCTAACCTTTAGGGCCGCTGCGGAAGGATCTTCTGGGTCGTGGCTAAACGATTTTGTGTTCTCGCAGCTTAAATTGTTACAGTGCCTCGAGCGCACGTCCCCGATGTTGAAGACAATGGGTGGTCCTGCAACAAAATCCATGAATCTGAATTGATTTACTCTCGGGCAAAGTACTCACCTTGGTCCCTTGAATCGCACGAGTCGAGCGACATCTGCGATACGGCGTCCCTCTCGCTTATCTTGCGCATATTTAGGTACTGCGACGTGATCTCGTCGTCCTCCTGAGACCACACATCGTTTTCATGAACATGCAGACCTCCTAGCGAGAGTGGATTGCTGCAGCAGTTGTGCGAGCAACCATACCCGCAACCGGCATCTCCATCGCCATTCTTTTTCCGCCGGCAGCTTGAGCTCTGGTGACTGCTGCTGCAGCTGGAGGTGCAGCTGCAACTCAGGTGCTGGTGGCAGGACCCCTCCAAGTGCTCCTCGCTCTTTGTGTGTCGCAGTGACGGCATCATTTTGGGTATCAATGGGGAGGTGTAGATGTCAGGCACCTCGACCACCTCCACGTAGATGATGTACGGGGTCTTGTCCTTGGAGTTGAGCACAGCAGTCTTCTCTTCCGTGATGCGAACGACGTGGTGTGGAATGTCCGAGTAGAGGGGCAGCCAAACTCTAGCGGGCAGGTTTTTGTTGATTAAATTTAGGAACATGCGCAATGCCGACGTCTTCTCCGCCTTCGAGGGCAGCGAAGTAAGATTCTTTCCCACATTCATCAGTGCCTTCATGAACTCCTTTTGCGGCGCGGTCTTTGGAGCGCCGCAGCTGCACAGTGTTCTCTGGCCCAGCAGACCGTTCACCTGGCCCCGCACCGTCTCAAAGCATGTGCAGCCGTTGTCGAAGGCATGCCCAGAGGTCAGGTCTCCCAGACACAGTTTGGTAGGCGCAGTGGGTAGTGTTTTGGTGGTGAAGGACGGCTTCTGATATATGCGATGGGACATACTAAGGGTATGTGGGGATCGTGAATCGGTAAGCAGCACAGTGGCATCCGACTGCGAGCGGTAGTGCGTTTTCTTGGCATAGGCCACAATCGATCTCGGCTCAGCATCGCCGACCGCGCCAGCGTTGGCCGCCTTCGACTCGTTCTGCACCTGTTTATGTTCTTTTTTCGAGAATATTTCCTTCATGAGCGCCAGTTTGGGCTTGCGGGTGCCGCTGTGCGAGTTGCCCAGTGAGTCCACCTGGTAGTTGTAGGCCTCCAGCAGCCATAAGCACTTAAGGGAGAAGTCCACAGACTTGCGACATCGAATGGTAAGATAGGGATCAAGAACGTCGGCCAACTCATCCATTTGTATGTACATGACGATCAACTGCGGTATGTACAGGTCGACCTCCTGGTCCTGGAAGCTGAAGATCTTGTTGCCAATGAAGCTGAGCACACCCGGCTCCTTCGAGTAGAAGAGATAGTGCACAGCAAAGTGTATGTTGAAGACCGGCGACTCGAAGAAGCGCAGCAGTCCGCTCTGGCCTTTTTCGGGCTTCTGCAGCACATCCGAGCTAGGTGCTCGCTCGCTTATAAAGTACTTGACCACACCGGGCACGGGCAGCTTCAGCTTGTGCAGTGAGTTCATGGAGGAACTCTTGGCAAGTGCATCTTCAGTTGTGCCATCAGTGTCTGTACCAGGTAGGCGCAGGTTGAGCGTACGCTCCTTCAGCTTCGTGTCGGCTGATGAGTCGGCCATCGACGATTCTGTGGGTGTTGCGACTGGTGTACTGGCTGCGGAGCTTGCCGCAGCCGCCGCAGCAGCGGCCGCTGCCTTCTTGCTGGAGTTGGATGTGAGCAAACTGAAGAACTCCTTCTTTTTGGAAATGTCCGTTGGGGACTTGACCTGGTCGTGCAGGGCTGTGCTGCCACCACTCGACGAGCTCTGCAGGGTCGTCGGTGAAGTGTGGTCCGTCTGCTGTTCTCCTACCTTCTGCTTGGCCGCGTTCTTCTTCTCGTGGTTCTCTATGATGCTTTGGGCCGTGCGGAAGATGGCGTTCTTGGTGGCTCCGAAGAAGTTCTTGAAGAGCACCTGGTCGTTCTTGGTGCTCTCAGTGGGTGTGGGGGTGGCTGTAGGTGTGGGTGTCGCCGAAGGCATTACCGGCGTTGTTGCTGTATCACCCCATGTGGGTGTCGGCGTGGGCAGGGGCGGCGGTAGAGGCGTGGCGATAGTTGAAGTCAGTGTCGATGAGTCTGCTCTCGCCACATCCTGATCCGGCTCCTTGTGTTCGTCCACCGGTTCGATTTCATTAGGCGCCGTTCCCAGCTCCACGTTTATGGCCGCACGAGACATGTTCATGACGCGATACCGGGTCCTGTCGTCAACGCCAACATCCACGCCACGTTCTTTGTGTTCCGACAGCTGCTTGGCTTGCTCTAAAGCAAGTTGCTGCTGACGCCTTTGCTTGCGTGACGGACGCAGAGTGCGACAGTCTATTTCGTTGGCGACTTCGTGTGGCGGATATAAGCATGGATGATCCGATTGCATTATGTTGTACTCCTCGTCTATGGATGTCGTCTCCATCATATCTATGCACTCCTCCTCTGCCTCCATTTCACCAGAATCCAGCGATTCATGCGAGTGACAGATGCGATTCAGGGTTTCA